CTGGGAGGGATGCGGAAGACACTGGGGTCCCTGCAATTGGCTGATGCGAGTGGTGGTGGTGTTTTATGAGGATAATTCGAAAAAAAACGACTATGCTTCTAAATGAGGCCGATAAAGTTGCAGCAAAAAGGTTCAAATGCAACTAACCTGAGGGGTCGGTCCCATTGCGTACGCCTGTTAATATGATCCACGTAGTATGTACGTCCATTCTGGTCAATTCGTTCATCCCAACCCTCGGGTAAGGGTTCGTTTTCTGGTATTATGCTGGTCTGGAGGGCAGGTTCTTGGGCATCATCGTCACCACAGACAGTTTCATTTGCGAGCTGGGTAGTTTCCAAGTCAGCTGAATGCGACTGCGCGAGACGAGCTGATGAAGCGCCATTTGACGCCCCAGCCACCGCCAGCGCTGTTGCGGGGGAAACCGGTAGTGAATGCTACAATAGGAGGAAGAGGCCGTTACATAATGAGACAGCTGCGAGCACATGGTCACCTGTGCATAACCGATGGGGCGTTAATAGTGCCAAAGTAATCAAGTACACGGATTCAGGTGGACGAAACTCACACGAGGAATGCATGCACGGTCAACGTTTGGAATTCGGGAAATGCATACGTCCAGAATGTCCGGGAGGTAAGATAGGGCAAGTAAGAGTTTACCCTTCACTCTTGACCGTACGCTGAAGAGTTAAAAGCAGAATATATTTTTGAGGAAAGATAGACTACTAACAATTATTACGTAGACAGTTTGTTGTTCACGTCAGTATGCGAAAAGAATGAAGATATGAGGCCCACAATAATCGCGGAAAGCAACGAAATATTAGCTAATATCAATAACTGTGTTTTTGAATGGGAAAAAATATTACTTCTGTTCCCAATAGTAATAGGCGTGGAACATAAAATCCGGTTGGGTCATAGGTGCAAGCACAATGGGTAATGAAGATTGCTCCAGCGACAAACGCCGACACAACGTAACTGTCGAAGTATAAACTAACGATTTGCTTTTGGTGTCGCGAATGATAGGAAATAAAAAGGTATGCAAAGTCAGAAGTGGGTCCTTAGACGGATTCGGAACGTCGAATTCTAGATTACATTTTACGTCATCTGAGCTACAAGCAGGTCGCCATCGGTGATACGCGCGAAATGCAACACTGCCTTGTATGAACTGGAAAGCAGTCCAGACAAAGGCTGGTCTATATATTCTGCTCAGTTGCAAGGTAGACCTGTTACACACAGAGGCAGCGATTCAGGTTCTAGACGAATCTTTTCATAGTTAAAAAAAATACAAAGAAGCGATGGGCCACAACCCGAAAAAAAAACAGAATTCGGTCTCATTTAAAAGTGGATGTTTATCCTAATGATAAACTAAATTATCAATTTAACATTCATATCTGGAGTTCACACACCGAAAAGCACAACGGAGCACAACATTGAGGAATCTGATCCGTCACATTTGAATCATATATCAGTATAGTGGTGAACGAACACTCGTCTGGACTATTAGCGTATTGTAGTCACTGTAAAATAGCCATCGTAAGACAGACATAGATAAACAAAGTTTAGATGACCTGATATTTTAATCTGAGGTCTTTGGTCGCTGAGTGTTGATAAGTCCCCCGTTTTGTCATTGACTCACGGGCCGGCTGTCCGGTTGGTTGAGCTCGGTAATATTAACTATGGTTGAAAAACGTTCACCGGCAAATGCTCTTCCCGTTGT